TTTTTTTTTTTTTTTTTTTCAATTTAAATAAGTATTTTATTCATGCAAACATGATTATAATGGATAAAAGAAAAAATTACTTCTACTTACAAGTATTTGGCGTATGAATTAAAATTTAAATATGCGTAGTTATAAATATTTGTTATAAATAAATCTTAAAAAAATTGTTGATATCTAACTTACATGATAGATAAATAAATATTTATCTACAAATTTCTAATTTTTAATGAAAATTTTACCCTCATTATAAGTTTTTTTTAATAATGGAGTTACATTCATTTGTTATATAATAATTTATGATCGGAATGCAATATCAAAAAATTTCGAGACAAGTTGGGTCAACTTGATACATATTTTCGAATAATTTCATTAGAATATTGAAATTGTATAATTTTTAATATTATTTTTCAATCATAAAGTATTGTACATGAACTTGCTAACTCTATTGCATATATGAAACTAATATTTTCTATTGTTTAATTATTTGTCTTTTAACAAACTAAATATGCACTTTATTCGTCACGGGATTTTTTTTTCTTGCACGGACTAATATGTTCTTGTTTCCAAATTAATAGTAACCTCGTGTATTCGTATTCAATTCGTGTAAAAATGGTTCGAATCAATTAGGAAAGCTATTGCTTTATTTTATTTTATTATTTTATTTTTTATGTATATAAAAAGAATATCCTCAAAATATTCCCTCCTCTTTGTCACTCTACACTCTACTTAAGTCTCTCTATCACCATCGAAGTGATTTCCAAAATCAAGACACGAAATATATATATATATATAAAGATGGATTCTTTTACTTTAGGAGTAAGTCTATTTAAATTTATTCCGTTCAATAACTCATGTTTTACATCAAATTTCAACGACCCAACAATTTAATTTAAAGTTTTTAATGTGTAGATTAAATTTGCCGAATGGAATATTATGTTTTGTTTGTGCTCAAATAATTTATTTTAGTTGAAGAAGCATATTCCTTATATTTTGTGAACAAGTTATTTCCCCCAAAATCTTGGTTGGATCTTAAGCTTAACGATGAAATATGTTTTGCCGTTATTGTTTAAGATTTTACACATGAATCAAAACTGAACTGAGTCAAGTTCTGTGTCAATAAAATTTCTCTTGAATAGTTCTAAGCCTAAAATTCTTGTAGTGTTTATTATTGAAGAGTGCAAAACATGATTCCACCAAAAAAGAAAAACGTGATCCATTTTATAACTGCAAAATGATCCGGACATGGGAACACAAGGAAACAATTTTTGCAAATATACAAGGGTTTTTGACAATACATGTCACCTTACTTTATAAAAAAAAACTAATAACAAATATTTTTTTTGGCTGGTGGACACTTAAGATTTAGAATTTAGAATTTGAGAATTTAAGTTTTAGCAGCTCTACCCTTAGACCGACCTAACATGTATCATTCTCATAAATTCTTGTTTTATTCTTGAATTTTAAAAACTTTACAAAGGAGTTGTGTGTTTGAGTGGAATTAGTGGAACAAAGTTGGAAAGTAACTACTAAATGGGGAGGGGGAACAGAAGATGGCTTTTTAACTCCCTCCACCCCTTTGGATAGTCATGACTCACCATGTCATGTGAATTATTAGCACAATTATTTCCCTCGTGATATTATGAATATGAGAAACTCTGAATTGTATCTGCTGAGAAGTTAGTGAACGATTTTTCTATCAAGTTTGGAGCTTCTCCTCAAGATGGATTCTAACGTGAAGCAGTAAAAAATATGCCTCATGGATGAACCATTAATTTTAGTCATTGGATATATTAATAAAAAAATTAACGTACAAGGTTGTTTTCTCAACCGGTAAGGCAACTCGCATAACTGGTAATTAGTTTTCTAAACTCATCCCCGTCAAACCACCATGACCGCACGCGTAGTGGCGTCACACAACAACGTCGTTACCGTGGCTGCACGTACAACAGCAAAATCTAGGGTTTCTAATTTCTTTTCTCTACTCGAAACTTGATTTTGCTATGACTAACTAGAGAGAACGAGATTTGTTCTACGGTGACGCGATCAACCCCTAGAACGACGAGGGTTTCGACGATTCCTCTTTGGTAAACAGTGACAGTGCCTTGTCACTGTGGCCGCACGCACCGCAGCAACAACATCACCGTGGCTTTCAAATATTTTTGTGATTTCTTTTTTATATTTTTCCGGTTAAAATCTTGTTATTCTCAGTCATTTTAGTGCCTCATCCATAAGATACATTTTTTACTACTTTATGTTAGAACCCGTTGCTTCTTAAGAGAATTAAATGCAGACACCAACAACATAGACTCACATTCCAACCAAAGTTTATACCATCCCATTTCGTAAGCCAATTCAAATGCAAACATTACATCAGTTAGTTTGGCATGAAGAGCAGAAGCTAACCCAATATAAGCAAGAAAACAACCAAGAATACCTTTTGTATTTTCCATATATTTTTTAATCAAAATTAAAGTTTTACTTAATAGAAGATTTATGCAGATTACCAAAGTGAAACTTCATTCTATATGGAAAATTACACAATAAGAAATTGCATTTAGGTTTATGGGATAATAAACATATAATCATTCTAACAACAATTTATATAATATAATTTTTTTGTATTTATCTCTCTTCATCCATCATTTATTACATTTCAAACTTCTCCCTTAGTTGTAACATTTGTTATACACTTCCTTTTACAAGTATCATTTCCCTTTAGATTTTCTCCTTGACCTGTTAAAAACAAATTTCTACAATGAGGTGATTTTAAAAGATATGACCAAAGTGAATTGTTTTTGCCATGTTACCATCGAAATCACTGTTTTTTTTTTATAAGTTAAATCAATTTGTTTCTATATATATATATATATATATTTATCGTTGTTAATCAATAGAGCACATTCCTAATAATACTGTGGGACATGATTATTAGGAATTAAAGCTTTTGACTTGTACCTACTGCATATAGTACCTAATTTTATGAATAAGCTTTCTTCTCAACATGTCAATGCATTCAGTTTTCAAGCCCATGACTCAAAACATTTTATTTGAGGTTGAGGCTCATGGACCAATATGGGTAGTTTTTGGGTCCATGATCCAATAATATATTGAGTTTTCGGTTCATTGCACGGGAGATTTCTAAGATTTTGGTCGCTTGATGCAAAAAACATGAAGGATCTCAAAAGTTTATCCTTATAATCTTTATGCAAAATTGAAATGATTACACTTAAAAACTGAATGAATGAACAAACTTAGTCAACAAAATCTCACAATTGAAAGTAGACAACAAGACAAGTCATTTTTCTTTTCTTTCACAAAATCGTAGGGGATATACACTTGTAAACAGATTTGGATGAGTTTGGCTTGGATTATGTTTGGATTCAAGTCTAAAAGGATTTTTAAGAGCTTCTTTTACGGAAAATTACTCTTTATTTTCTGTAGAAAACTTCTCAAAAGCCCTTCTAAACAGTTTCTTGGTCTAAAACCATTATCTGAAATCTTCATTCCCATTTACTTCTTAGTTGATTGTGATGTTTGAAAGAATAGGTTAGCACAATGCTTCCATCCAATGTTTTCAGTACAAAAGTCTCAACCAACACATAACATGCAAACTTCTTCCACCCATTATTAGTCCCTTTAAATTCTTCCACCTTCTTAACTCTAGCATGCTTCTCTTTTCCTCCATTCCACCCTACTCTTTCCTGCTCCCACTTCATTCTCTCAACCACTATAGGGCTCAATCCCACACTACTCTTTTCTCCAACATTGTTGAAACTATTAAAGCAAAGAAAACCTTCAGCATTATCCATCTGATCAATCACAGCTTCCCATCCAGCAATCACAACCACTTCCTTTTGAACCACAGCATCCACATTCACCGTGTTCCCCTTTCCATTCCCATTCTCACATGAAAAGATTTGCTCCCACTTCTGCTCCAGTGTCATCTCATAAAACATTGATTTTCTCATTTCTTCCTTCAATGTTTTGTGAGCTCCTTCCTTGATGAACATGAAGGGGCAATACCATTTTCCCACAACAACACTTTCTGAACTCTTTTTCGCCAAGGAGAATTTGAATTCTGGCTTGCTGGCACGGAGTGCTTCATTTAAACCTGATGTTTCAACTAGACTAGACTCACTTGAAGTTGAAGCACTCACTTTCCACCTTCTACTCAAAAATCTTGGAGGGTAACCATTTGGGGCAACAGATTTAGCTGAAAAACCACCCCTGAAAGTAACTTTGCTTCTCCTAGGATATATCTCAAACTCTTGGTGTGTGTCACTGATATCTATTGAATGTAGTGGTACATCAGATACAGCATTGTAGAAACAGAATGTGTCCAAATCTTCCTCCTTTGAATTAATGTATGCCTTCCTGCAAAATCAAACACAAATTACATCACTATAATCCTTAAACTTGTCAAGAAGATCAATCATTAATTTGTACTATTACAAATTCATCCTATGATGCTAGATGGTGGAAACTATATGGTTTCTTGGGACATTTGCATGACACATTCCATATAAATGATCTATACAACAAAGTAATGGAAATCTAATTTGTTTACTAAAATTAAAGCTTACCCTCTTTCTTTCCCACTGAGATTTATGACATAGTATTTGTTGGAAGACAGTGGCTGGTTAAGGACAGGAATAAAGGCAACATGGTGGTAATGAGTGGTTCTATTCAGTGAAATGCCTGATCTATAGAACAACTCAAGGTTTAAATTTTGAGGGAAAGGTAAATCCTCCACCTCATGACACCCTCCCATTCCTAAACACGAGGTTGGCTCCAAATCCTCATCTTGGATCACCAAAATACCAGAATTGGGGCCCTCAGGGGGAGGCAATGAGAGAGCATCTGCAGATTTCTTATACAGAGACAGAGGCCTAGCCACATACATTTTGTGATCCTAATATTGCTTCAATTCTCAATTCTCCACTAAACTTCTGATTCTAAGGATAACTTGCTTAATGTGGATCTTGGTGGATGCAAAGGCATCAATATATATACCACATGAAATGAAATTTTATTCTGATATGGTCAACCGTGACCAAATTTACTAAACGTGTATAAAATGGTCCCAATTGACCAAGGTTAGTGAAGAAAAATGATTTTTTCTAGCAAGCCAGTATAGCCGTCATAAATGTTGGAGTTGTCAATATGTGGTCCCCACATGGCAATAAAATTGCCCTGTTGGGTAATGGGTTTGTGTGTTTGAAGGGGTCCACTTTGGTCAGCATTGCTACCTTTGGTTTTGTTTTTATCTATTTGGATAGTTTCAGCCTAGAAGGACGTAAAGGGAAAATTTGGGGATCAGAGTATTCTTCTGAGGTTTAAAGTTGAAGAGATTAGACCCGGCATTAAAGAAGAAAACAAAAATTGTTAATGTTAGGTATGTTATGCAGGTGGACTAAGTTGTTTATTCAATTTCAATTCATGACATGGTTATCTTTCGAATCCTAGTCAAATTTTTTAATGATTAAAATTTAGGCCGTGGTATGTTCTGTTTAGAACTACTCGTATATGGAAAAGGACTTTGGCTTGGTTTAAGAATACCATTTGAAATTCTCTTGCTTGTGCTTCCAGTTGGATACTTGGGGGGAAAACTATTGAAATTTTATCATCGTAATTATCAGGTGTTAGTGTTACTCTATAAAACTAATGCTCAAAGATTACTAGGATTAGTATAGGAGTTGAGAGAAGGGATTAGAGTACATGAACATTTAAGTTCGATTTTCACAGCTGTCTCATAAACTCTTCTATAAAAATAAAAATAAAAACTAGTGTCTATTTAGAAAAACTTAAAAAAAAAATCACGTTTTCGACTAATAAATGTGGCTACACAATTAGATAAGTTAGTGAGTGTTTGTTTGGTTTTTAATTTTAAATGCAATTTTTTTCTTTCCATGTCTAAATGTAAATTTACGTGGAAGTTACTATTTATTACTTCTAATTAAACGTGAAAAATTACGTCTTGACTCTAATACAAACACACACTTAACTAGTAAATTCTTAATTTTTTTAAAAAAATTACGTTAATAAAATTGATTGATTTTTTTATTTTATTTTACTATACTGGTGTGATTGGATCTCAAATTTCAAGAATTTAAATTTAATCTTAAATTCGATAAATTTAAAAAGGTGATATTAAAAGAAATAACTTTAATGTAGTTAAAATTTTAAAGGAGATTAATTTAGGATAAAGTTAAAGAATATTCCTAACTATATAATGATAACTTTTTTTTTACCAAAAAGTAAAATCGATTCTTAAATCTTTTAACTATTAAAAAATAATTTGGGCTGTATAAGATCCGCAACAATTTTAAATATATACACCTATACCTCACAAGTAATTTATTTTATTATTCATATCAAATTAATCCTTCTAAATTTATTTTGGGAAGAAAAAATGTAAACATCGCATGATTTAACACTTTGAAATAAACTCATTAAAATTTATTAACAAAATACGTAATTTAGTCTTATTTTTTATTTAACGCTCATGATTTTTCTTATTTAACAAATCACACATATAATTTTGTACTTTTCAAAAACATCAATAATAAAAATTATGTTGCAAGAGGTGCTGGTAAGTGGTAACACTCTTGGGAATTTCATTTCTAAATACAAAATGATTTTTCATTAGTTTTTTTAATAAATCATTTAGTATAATTTTTATATTCAATCCTACTAATTTAAAACATACGGATGATAGTTAGTTTAAACTGAATTTAATTTTGTTAAATTTTGACAGTTGAACATAAATATTGTGTAAAATAAAGCGTTGGGAATTATACAAAAGTACACATACTTAAAAACTGTGTAACTTAGGTGGTATCATACCGCAGGAAGTTACCTATTACCTTCACAAGATCATGGGTCCTCGTAATAGTTCTATTTGTACAAAAAGATTAGTAAAGTTGCACCTCAGAAATGGACGAGTCAAAAAAGGGATTCCCCCACATCTCAGTTTCCTGGTCCTTCCTTTCAATAATGCAGATCAGCAACGTTGAAAGCTAAGTCGTTGCCACAGTAATGGGTCTCACTTGTGAAGGTTAAATAAATTAATGCAATCGAGATCTATATCATATTGATAGGTGATAGCAACAGGTCAAGTGTCAAATTTGGCAACCACTTTTGTTTTAGAGCTTGCAATCATATGTCTATTACATACTTTTCCACATTGGAAATTTTGTGACCCTGGTTTGGTTTTTGGCTCATTGTTATACTACTAAGGACTATCATCATGATTGAGAGGCACTTTCCTTTGCTTCTTCCCTAACGTTTGAAACATTTGGCATGGCACCTTCCAAGAAGTATCAAGTTTCTTCATTTACTGAAAAAACATTAGTACACATGAAAGATAATGGCTAATGGCCAAACTACAGATAATTTAAACAACAGACTAAGACTACCCTAATGAAGCTTGCATTATGTATTTGATGATGGTATTACTACTATATCAGGTTTTGAACATAAGGTCTTCATCTCTTTTCCTTGTGCTTCCCCAATTTGAATGGTATCTGAAAATCCATCTCCAACCCTTCATGCTTTTCCTGCCCCTTTTGATTCCTCTGTCATTCACAGTGATCCTACATGATCCTCCACTTGTTAAGACTCCATCCCCTACCAAGCCCCCATAAGAACCTCCTCCACCATCATGAGCCAGAAAATTCCCACCTCTAAACGAGGAGAAGGTGTCACCCAGGTTGCCCATCTTTGAGGCAGAAAACTCATGCTTTGATTCTGATGAATAATCAAGCTTCAAGTCAATAAAGCTAGACTCATCCATGCCTTTGAAATCACTCTCTCTGAGTGAAAACACACGCCTATTTACCCCATAGAAGCCTCCATCACCATCCATTAGGACACCACCCTTCTTCCCCCCACCACCCTTGAGATCATTGCCACTTTCATACTCATATAAATCCCTCCTCTCCCCATCAAAACCACTCCTCCTTGGCTCAGCCTCACTGTATCCACTTCTTCTGCCGGATTCCAACATCAAACCTCCATTAACCCCAGAACTTCTGGCTGCAGAAATTGAGCTTCTAGCACCTGACAACACTGAATCCCCACCATCCTCAGATCCAAATAGTCCTCCACCCCTGAAGCTGCATAGTGACCTGGACCTAGAGACACCCCCGTGATCCAGCATCCACATCTCATTCCTCTCATCAAACCCAGCAACACTTCTTCCACAATCCTTCTCCTTCTTCTTCCTGAACAACTTACCAATTCTCCAAAAGCCACCATGCCTCTTGATCTCGACACAGTTGCTGCTGCTCCTCCTGAGAACTACAACCTCCTCCTCCTCCTTATCCTTGGCCTTGGGATTCAAATGCTGAAGAACCGGGGTCTCATTCTTCTCATTCTCAATGAGAAATGAGACCCTTCCAACACTTCCCACCTCAACAGTGCATGAATTGCGGTGGGAAGAGATCATCTCATCAGAGCAAGAGCAAGAAGAAAGCCTTTGCTCCCCACAATCAGAACACACAAGCTTGACCAAACGGTCCTTGAGACAGTAAGCACATATACCAACAGAAGAAGAAGAAGGGTGTTTCTTACATGGGAGTTCAGAAGTGGAGTAGTAATAGCAATCCATGTCATTGGTGTTGTAAGGTTCCACACCTTTGTTCCTCTCCTTCATGGCTTCTTCACTCTAGATGGAGCCTCAAAAGTAAAGTGAAAAATGGCAAGGGGTTTGGGTCTATGAAAGAAAGGAAAAAAGGGACAAAATACTTGGCTTGAAGAAGCAGCTTCCTCTTTGAAGCTATGAGTAAAAAGTAGAGAATTTTGAATGTGAATGAATAAAGGGGTGAGAGAGGAAGCACAGGCACAGAGGCGTTTCCTTTACGTTTTCTTTGCAGGAAAAACAGCGATAGGAAGGAAGAGAAAAAGGGTGATGCAAGAAAAAAGAAAAGAAAAAGAAAAGAAATAATAAAGCACTAGCTCCTGCAGGCATTATTATGTAGGGGAGAGACTGAAACAGCTAAATTGAGTGAACAAGTGAACAAACCCTTTTCAAAAAATTTCATCACTTGCATGCACATAATATCATCAAACACTATATCTGCATTCCCCACCGTACCACTTTGAAGTGGCACTTCAAAGACACTCCCTAACCAAACAGTTCTCTCTCTTGAAAACCCATCAATCTTTCATATGAACTGTCAACAACATTTTCCCAAACAGTTTACTCTCTTGCCTTGACTTTTGCATGCCATTGGCACTGAGGTTTGACAATAAATCCTACCCCCAATACCCACTTTGCATGTGTCCCCTTAGATCCCTTAGATTAGATTAGTGGGTTGAGAAAGCAACCCTTCATAGTAACATGAGTGTGGCACGCATATTCATTTGTCCACTCTCTTTTTTGCTCCCTACCATCATTCCTTCTATTCTACCCACACCATAGCATTACCTTCTCTCACAAAATGTGCCCTTTCCTCGTTGATCATAACCACGTGTCCCACCGACAGATCTACCTTCAATAACATCTTCTATCATATATCAATTTCAAACCCATAACAACATTTTTTAAATTAACAAATTCTCAAAATGAGTTATCATTTGACCCATACATTTTTTTTTTAATTTTTGGTTAGTATAATTATAAATTTATACTTTTAAAAATGTATTTAATAATTTTTTAAATTCATATACTAATTTGATAATGTTTCCAAATTCAAGAATCAATTTGGATATTTACTAAATATTCTTTCTTCAAATTAAATCACTTACTATTACAATTGTAATTTTCCCTTAAACTTGCATATATAAGATTTATTGGTAAGAAATAAAAATTAATTTAATTTTTCAAAACAAATGGTATTAATATCAAAAGAATCAAGTTAAACCTAACAAATAATCTCTTTTGATCAAAGCCTTTTATCTTAATTATATTTTTTCTATTTACAAAACTTATTAAATGAAATCTTACTTAAGAGATCAAGTCTGATTATACTCAAATCAAAATATTTATATAATAATATATTATGAGGAAGGTTAAAATGGCAATGATATAATTTTTATTAAGTATTATACCGCTTAATAACTCTATACTAAATATGAGTTTTATAAATTCAACTGTTAGATCAAAAGTTCTTCACTCTTAAATCATATATATACAAAGTTTTATATTAATTAAAGATAATTTGATATTTTATTCTTATAAAACAAAATTGATGTAATATATATTTCAAAATATAATAAAATAAAAACATTTTGATTACCTTCAAGTTATTGTTCAATTTTAACAAAATTTGATATAAACATATAAAGTGATATAAACTTTCAATCTAACAGTTAGATTTACCAAATTCATATTTAATATAAAGTTATTAAGCGATGTAATACTTAGTAAAAATTACACCAATATCGTTTAAACCCTCCTCGTATATTATACTTATATGTAAGTTTTATTTAATTAATATTTTTCATATCTTTATTGGAAGCATTAATGTGTTAAGTGATTATTTAATAGTTAATGAATTGTGAATAAATGGTGACCAATTTGAAGCATGAGTTCATTGAGGTGAGGAGACTAGGTTGATCCATTATTGGGGCAAGAGATGAGAGTTTTGGCGTGCCGTATTCATTCAAGTCTCTCTATCTTGTCTTTTCCACACTGTTACATTTCTTCTTGCTTCATGCTAGCAAGTTACCCTTTGGCATCACCATCATCAGAGTCATGCATGTGGGAGTGGATGAAAGATGCACCATTTTATTTTAACAAAAACTAACTGTAAAAGGTGTATTTGTTAATTTAATTTTGTTAGTAATTTATTATCATTTTTTTTCCATTGAAGAGTACTTATTTTATTAGCATTACATCACAACAATTTTGCTTTTGGGATGAGGATCTACTTCTATGGCCCATTGGAAGTTCAAATGTGTAATATCAATACCATAAAGATTTAGATGGACAGAGAGTTCCCTTTAATCACTAAAACTTGTTGATGCAAAAGGTATTTTGACAAGAACTGCTTTTCTTTTTATTTTTTATTTGGACAAGTGTATACATAATTGCAAATAGCTAACGGGGTCGAGAAGAAAGCATATATGGAAAGAGGTGAAAATAAATAAATAATTATATAATTACAAATATTTAAATAACTAACATATATCTTTTGTATTGTACAAATATTTTTAAAGAGTAATTAGTCACTTAAATATCAAATGTGGTGAGAATTGCCACATTAATCATTAAAACTGAAAAATGTCATATAAGTGTCAAAATTTATACCATAATTTTTTACTTATTTAATTTACATATACTATAATTGTCATCCATATATATATATATATATATATA